CTTCTTATCAATACCCCTGTAAATAAGAGCCAAAGCTTAAATACCTGCTAGCTGAGGGCTTACAGAACTAGCGGCTTGGTGGAGCCTGTAGCAGGATAAACTGAGATTTTGGAACACATTTAGGAGGTCCCATAAAGTGCATGATGACTTGACTTTAGTTTTGTGGGTACTCCTAAGGGCAGAATACCACCTCATTCTTTAGGTATATATTTGGCAGGAACTTGGGGCCAGCTGCGCGCCACAGCGAAATGCTTAATGAGCTAAGCATGAGGTAGATGGGGCCACATCCTGGGATAAGCCAAAAATACACACTACCCTGAGTTCCGTGCTGTGCAAAGTTGGGCATAAGACTCCCACTTGCACAACACTCATGTGCATGACTTTTGCCACCACTCTACAGTACACTGGCCTGAGGGCTGCATTAACTTAAGGTAATAAACCACTGGAACAATTTACCTCTGAATAATAGTAGATGCACCAGCACCCAGGGCTGCCCAGAGGATTCAAGGGGCCTGGGGCCAAGCAATTTCGGGGGCCCTTCCATAAAAAAAAGTTGCAACACTATAGAATACTATATTCTTGGGGGGCCCCTGCGGTGCCTGTGGCAAATTGCCCCACGTGCCCCTCCTCCCCCCGCCCCGGGCCGCCCTGCCAGCACCTGAAGTCTTTAAGTCTTGACTAGATATCTTTCTAAAAGATTAAGTCTATAGCTCAAACAGAAGTTACAGGCTTGGGTCCAGATCCTCAAAAGGTATTTAGGTCCTAAGTCCCATTGAAATCAGTGGGAATTTGGCACCTAAATATCTTTGAGGATCTGGGCCTTGCTGCAAAAAATACTGAAGTTTAAGAGCTTATGTTCTGCAGGTGGTCAGACTAGGTGATCATAATGGTCTTAAAATCATATGACTTAAGTTCGGTCAGCCTCTAATAGCCACCAGTCTTTGGACTGGTGTACCAGAGTTGCATTCTGACCACACTCACCCCTGTGCTGACAGCAGGAAGTGGGTAGGCTAATGTACCCCTACACTGAATCCCCTGGCTCAGGTGTTGCCATCCCAAAGTAAGGTCACAGTGCAGCAAAACATGATCCTTGTCTGTTGCATTCTAGAACCACAAGTTCAAATCCCTAGCAGCATTCAGGGAGGCCTGCAGGCACCTTGCTGAGGAATATACCCTGCTCATCTTTCAGAAGTCACTCCTTCCATGAAGTGAACAGTCATTCACACAAGCTTACTAAAAAACTGAAAAGATCACCACTCAAAACCATAAATTGAATGATGAAATAAGTGAATAGGTGCTAGGTACAGAAGCAAAGGAGACCTGGAGGAATACAAGAAATTGGCCAGTAATATAGATGCAAAAATGAAAGCCAAAGGTCTTCAAGGAACTTTACTTAAGACTTTGAACAAAAGGAATGGGGAAAAAGAAGTGTACAGAGTGGTGAAACCGTGGGACAGAAGTACCAAAGATATGAAGGAAGTGAGGTTAATCAAAGATGAAACTGCTATGGTGTTGACTGATGACAGTCTTGTAGAGGATTGATGGAAAAGGTATTCTGAATGACCGTAAATGAAGAAAACTCAAGAAGGAATGCGACATCGAAATGATGTAGTGGAGCGTACTGTGCCAGATGAAGTGGCAAATGCTGTAAAAGAAATGAAAAATAATAAGGCCCTTGGCCCAGATGAAATCCCTAGTAAGGCATGGAAAAAGCTTAGATTAGAAGGCATTCATGGTCTAGTATCCCTGTTCAGTTCAATCCCAAACCCGTGGAGGAAAAGCATCTCAGGGCCAATACACAAGGGAAAAGGTGACACTGATACCACCACTAATTATAGAGGTATAAAGCTGATGAATCATACAAGGAAAGCATGGGAGAGAGTCATCGATAGACTAGAAAGTGATGTAGATACTAGTGAAAATTATCATGGCTTCATGCCAGAAAGGTCAATAATAGATGCTGTTTTTGCAGTGAGGCAGCTAGTGAAAATTTTAGAGAGAAAAGGAAAAATAATCACCAGGTGCTCATTAATCTGAAAAAGGCCTTTGACTTAGTTCCTAGAAAAGGCATCTGGTGGTGCATGAGGGAGAAAATGGTACCAGAACTTTGTATGTGGCTTGTTCAATGACAAGTCAGAACTTCTGGTAGTAAAACAGATGAACTACTGGTAAAGTTGGAAGTGAAGCAGGGATCAGCACTAAGTCCAGTGTTGTTTATCTTCCTTCTGGATACCCTCACAAGGAAAATACAGAAGGAGGCCCCTTGGTGCATGCTTTTAGCAGATGTTATTCTATGCAGTGAGGAGAAAGACAGTCTAGAAGAGGATCATGATTAAGGCTAAAAGAACAGGAGTACTTGTGGCACCTTAGAGACTAAAATTTATTTGAGCATAAGCTTTCGTGGGCTACAGCCCACTTCTTCGGATGCATAGAATGGAACATATATTGAGGAGATATATATACACATACAGAGAGCATGAAAAGGTGGGAGTTATCTTACCATCTGAAACCTGATTAAGGCTAAGTTTTTGTCCTGGGTATTTTTAGTAAAGTCAGGGACAGGTCACTGGCAATAAACAAAAATTCACAGCAGCCCATGACCTGTCCCTGACTTTCACTAAAAATATCCCTGACAAAAGGGGTAGGTGGGTTCAGCACCCACTGCTGCTGGGGCTCTTGGGTCCCCCACTGATGTGTATGGGAACTCTGGGGTCCCCCTGCCCGGGGCTGGGCTGCTGCGGGGTCCCCTCACCCCAAGCAGCTGGTAGCTGCAGGGTCCCGCAGCCATTGGCCATGGCTGGGCAGGGTCCCCCCACCTGCCGTGGCTGGGCAGCTGGGTGAGGTCCCCCTGCCAGGTTGGGGGCTGTGAGCTTCAAGGGTGGGACTTGCAGCAAGCTACAGTCCCAGGTCAGAAAATGTCACGGAGGTCAATGGAAGTCACGAATTCTGTGACATAATCGTAGCCTTAAGCATGACCAATTGAGAGGTGTTGGAGAGACATGGGCTCAAAATTATCAGAGGAAAAATGGAGTATATGGTATGTAATTTCAATAATGTAAACACTCAAGAATTACCTGTGAAACTAGATGGGTGGACAATAGAGAAAATACAAGGTGTCTTGTATTTGGGTTCCAGAATCCAGGGAAATGGGGAAAGTGAAATTAGAGCTAGGATAATAAATGCCTGGCTGAAATGAGAGAGATGAGTGGTGTAGTATGTGATAGGAAGACACCAGTAAGTTTAAAAGGGAAAGTCTATAAAATGGTGCTTCTGAGCCCACGTGAGGAAGATGTATGTTAGAGACGTGCTCAAAGTAACACCCATAAACAAAAAGATGAGGAAGTGCAGGTTTGGTCATGTAAGGCACAGTGCAGAACAATGTGGATAAGAGTGTCCAACAGATCAAGACTGAAGGAAAAAGACAGGCCAACCCAAGAAGTGGTATGATGTCACAAAGGAAGACATGTTGGCATGTGGTGTGATAGAAGATATGGCATTGAATAGAGCACTTTAGAGGAAGAGGGTTTGTAGAATGGACCCCAGTTGATGGGATTAAAACAAGGAAGAAGAAGAAATGAGTATGTGCTAGCTTCTCCCAGTAGGTTTGAGTCTGATTGGTGGCATCTTTTGCTTTAGACTGCAAACTCCTTGAATTAGGGATTGTGTCTCATGGAAAGCCAAGCACACTGTCAGTGTTTAAATAAATAATAAACTGAACCATGCACCATAAGGCTCTGGTGGGAGGGAGGGGCTTTCAGCAGAGACCTTTCCAGTCATCCTCATGTAAACTGCCCCAGCTACAGGCCCTGTGCCAGGCCATGATAACTCAGCCTTAGTGAGTTAAGGGTGGGTTTGGAGTGGGTAGAGTTCCCTTCCTAAGGCTATGAAAATCTTAGCGTCTGTCTCCTTGAAGCATGCTCAGAAGTGATTTTTTTCAGGCCTTCTCTGTATGAGCAAAGTTGCACTAGTTTAACCAAATCAATTTTAAATTGAC